TACACAGGAAGAGATAAATGCTTTTGTTGAAAAGGTAATTTATTTCTGCCTTATATTAACGTAGCTACAACATTATCCTTTAACACAGTGGCTTACAACCACCCCCACCCCGCCCACCCACGCGGGTTAATTGTCTGTTTAGTTGTATGTCAACTCTGAGTGTCGTCATCAATTGTATGTCAAACACTTCAAACCACTATCCCTTATTCTGTGAGCAGGCTTGATTGTAGAGAACTGCATATAGTTCCTTACATTGAAATTTCAACGAGCTGACAAAATTTTTAATGTGTTTTTTGACAGTACATGAAATGGAGACCAGAATCGAAGCTGCTTCAAGGCTTGCAGTTAAAGATGGAATTAAATTCTCCAGCTTCATGCTCTACTGGTGCTTCCTCTGATTCTTCGCTGTGAAGACTCAATTTTTGATTACTATACTGCTTCAGAAAAATAGTGAAAGGTAGATTTTTTTGGGTTTCTGCTTTGCTTTGTTTTTGAATGGGAAAGCTGATCTGGTGAGAAGGATATGATAGAAAGAAAGTGGGTGTCTGTAGTACTGAACTGAGCGAACTTGGTTTTGCCATGCAATAATTTCTGGCGCCTCATTCTGCCATTCTGGAGTTGCTATCTTTTCTTGGCCATGATGACGGAGGGTGGATGATAGGATTTATTTTGTTTTGTGACGGGAGTTCTTAGAAAATGTTCGGAATGTGAAAAGCTTATGGTTTTTGATCAGTTTATGACAAAAAGTACGATACTAAGAGCTTTTGGTTTTTAAATTCTGTACATGCTCATATTCCCATTCTTAGGATGATTTCTAATGCCTTCCTGTTGCAATGATCTAATTGCTTGCACGTGAAACTGAGATGAAGTTTAGTTGCTTTCTTGTGCTTGTACCATCATATTGCAGAATAATCAACAGGAAATAAACAATACAGAATGTAACTACTTTTAGGCAGTGTCTGGGAGCTTTGATTTCAGTTCCGAGAATTGGAATCTGGAATTCAATTCCAATTTCCACATATTGGGTTTTGAAAATACTTTGGAATTCCAGGATTTCTCTTTGGCACCCACTGTTTGGAAAAGTTCCTGAAATTTAATTGTGGAATAAATAAGTTTTCAGTTAATTTCAAAATAAACGAGCAGTTCATAAATCTCAAAAATTCAAAGTATATTCTTTTTCAAAAATACATTATAACCTAATTGGATGGTTAATAGCACTTCGTAATTAATACACAATCATGTACTCCCTAGAAAAAAACTAGGAATTTGTGAATTTGGAACTTATTTTGCATGAGATTGGAATCAACAGTTGGATGGGGAGCAGGTAAGATAAGTAGAGTTTGTCGTAGGTGTAGATGCGGAAACGATAGAGAAGTTTGTAGATCACCCATGGCCGACTCTAGTGGAAAAGGAGGGAAGTTACAGTTTGTCTGAGAGAGATAGAGAGAAGCTCCCATGGCAGTGTTGGTGGCGGACTGGTGGTTAGGTGGATGATAGAACATACATATAAAGAGGGGGGGTGTTGCTCGAATGACTCGGAAGCTGTTGCTTGAATGTTGGTAGATGACATCCCTACCAACTCCCCCCACATTCATATCATATGCAAGTGCAAAGCCCTGATTTCTGGTAGAGATTGGGAAGTTGTCATATCACATTGTTTTCGGAAAGCTAATCGTGCTGCGGATTGGCTTGAGAATCATGGTGTGAGTGCAACACAAAAATTCATCCTCTTTGAAGCGGTTCCGAGGAATCTTTCAAACCGTTTTATTGGAGGATTTGGGGGTGTTGCTTTGCCTTGTATATTGCCTCAAAATAAGTTTGCTTAGCCATGCCCTTATGGCATTGTTTGTTTTTTGAGTGTGTTTTGTTTGTTTTTTTCCTAGGGGCCTAGCCCTTCTCCTTCACCAAAAAAATAAGGGGGGGGGGGTGGGGTTGAGATTTCTGGAGAATTGAAATGACCATTAGGAATCCTGTGTATTTATGTCAAATTTTATTTATTCCTTTCCGGGCCTTTACAAATCAATCTTGTATTTGTGTCAAATTCTGTGTTTCAATTTCTTGGTTAACCAAAGATTTGACCAATACTATAATTTGCTATGAATTGCTAGTATCCAAACTGACCATTAGGAGATTTGGACTTGATTTTAGCATGTATTGCATTAGTTGCATATTCCATCTCTAATTTTCAATTTTTTTCACCTGTTACTGTTATGAGTGGGGATTTCCTACTCGGGAGTGCTAGATCAGTTCTTAAGAAAAATCTCGAGCCATATTCATCATGTTTTGGTTTGATTCGTCATTTGTTTTCTAATTGCGATAAAGGTTTAATTACTGGTAGTGTCTCATAATTTCTCACTACTCACTCGATCATACTACCTTCTGTTGTTTAAGTTGGTACCCGTCTTTCATGTAAAGCTAGTACCACATTGTTTAACATTCGAAGTGTCTTTGATTCCTTAGGAGGAGAGGAGTTGACTGCAAAACAATTGAACAAATCAGAGAAGGAAGAGTTGTGCAGCAAAGAGAAGGGTGGAAGGAGTTGACTGCAAAACAAGATGGTGGCGGCGACGGAGTGGAAAGGCGGCATAACAGTATGAAATCGGGAAGGATGAACAATTGAACATGAGAGGGAAAATGAATGAGGAGAGAAGAATTAAAGGGTGAGAGCAAAAACAATAATAATTCAATTTTACAACCTATTTAGCAAGTATCCAATCAATTGGACCAAATTGAGAATATTTTGTCAAAATTGAGATTATATTGGGAATAATGATAGTAGGGATTATTTTGAGTGGATCATCGAAAGTTAGGATTATTCCCATCAATTTTGTCTAATTTTTTTTTATTCTTTCTTTTTTACGAAATTGTATTTATATAACTACTTTTCTTGTATCATTAACACTAGATGAAGCCCGTGCATTTGTTTGTATTTTTTCAAATAAAATATTTTACTAATATATATTTATATAATAAACTTTATGATATTCGTTTGCTCACTACTTGAATTTTTTTACTATAAAATGAATTATTAACTTTGTTTCTCATATTTAGATAAAATTCGTAATATAAAAAGATAATATTTTATTTCACAAAGTTTTATATGTGGCTGGTCATACCGTGTGATCGGAATTACTTGGTTAGGAGTAATTTGGTTGGTCAAGGGTTACTCAATCGACCAGGGATTACTCGGACAGTCAGAGGTTACTCGGTCAGTGTTTGGGTGTGTCTCAGTCGGCCACACGATATGGCCAGCCACACAAAAAACCCGTTGATTTTATTTTTATAATTAATATAAAATTTTTGATCTAAAAGGCCACACAATATGGCCAGCCACACAAAAAACCCGTTGATTTTATTTTTATAATTAATATAAAATTTTTGATCTAAAATAAATTGCTATTCTTTTTTTATTGGCTAAAATATAACATTATCTTATGTGATGCTCTAAAATTAATCTAATGAGGCATAATCCTATTGTAGCGTTTTAAAATTATTAATCTTACGGGGCGATTTTTTTTATTATAATCCTACGTAGCGCTTTAAAAAAAAACTAATCTTACGTGGCAAATCCTATTGTAGCATTTTAAAAATATTAATCGTAAGTGGCGCTCTAATAGTTTTTTAAAAATTAAAATCCTACGTGACGCTCTAAAAACTCGGGAAAAAACTCTTCTTTATATATATATATAATAGATTCGATTAGTAAAAAAATTGCGTCAAAAAAAAAAATAGTATAAAAACATGTAGTAAAAAAATACACTAGTGGAAAAGAAAATACAGCTTCAAAATACTTGTAATTGTTTGATTTTTACACTATTTATGCATTAATTTTGACTACATTTCTTAGTACTGTACTCCCTCTATTTTTTTGACTATTTATTTCATAATAAGATGATCACACAAAATTGGAAGAGTTTGTTTAGAGAAGAAGGAATTAATATATCAAAATCAAATGTTATTTATTTAATTCTTCCTCTGTTTTTGTAAATACAATACTTTTTATTACATGCTTGACAATGCGGTTATTTCAATTACTAATACAAGTATAATATATTAAGGAGTATTATTAAATAAAATAATCCCACATGACTATATATATATTTCATTAACCATATCATCGGAGCTAAAGTGTGGTATATAAATAATGTAAAAGTCAAAGTATTACATTAAAACGGATCCTACATGAATAGAGATTTGCATGAGAGCATCTTCAATGTAAGCTAATTTTCAAATAAGCTTGCCATGGCACATAGGATTTTAAGCCAATTTTTTGTGTAGCTATTTTGTGCCCCAATGGTTAGCTAATGGCTAGCTATTTAAATGAGCTTAACTTTCTCAATTATCTTTAAAAGTTTAATTATATTAGTATATTAATCTTTAAAAAATTTAAAAACTTTTTTCTCAAGCAAATTAGCTTGACCAAGCTAATTGTATTTTTTAGCTCCAATGGTCAAGCTAATAGCTAGAGACTTTTGAAAATTACAAGCAAGTCTCTAGTTACAACCATTAGAGTTGCTCTGATAGAGTATTTATATCAAAGTCTGACTTTCAAGATCAACAGGGATGACATACGACTTACACAATTTCCATGTTACAAAAAATTTCATTGTTACATTTATAATTTGATATAAATAAGTTTTATATGTACTGTAGTGTTCTATAATCTATACCTTATTTTAGGCCTTTTTTTTCCCTTTCCCTTTTAGCTTAATGGTAACGACCTAGTGAATTCTCACCTTGTTAATGAGGTTGCTTATTGTTCTTTATCATTTGCTTGATTTTCAGTTGTTATATAAATTAAACAAGAAGCAAACCAATTAACGAAGTACAAAAGAAATGGAAAGAAACTAACATTGTGTTATTTCTTATTTGAACATACATAAGAAACACACATAACTAAGAATTATTGAAGCCATAGCAGCTTATATTACATAAATTTTCGACAACTTGCATAAACTAAACTAATTCTCATTACAAGAAGTAGAAATTGTTCATGTAACTCAGAATATCAATGGATAAACAGGGTTTGCGTTTGGATAATGAAGTCCCCAATTCTGTTCAACCCCTTCCTCCTTTTGATTCTCGTTAAACATAGCAAATATAAAGCAATCTATTAAAGCCGACGGCCTTCTTGGTGTTCCGGTTGCTTTCACTTTATCAATCAGTTTTTGATTATAAGTTTGTGCAATTTGTATAGTTGTATAAGGCTCATTTCCTGCAGCAGGCCACCCAGTCTCAGACACGACGACTGCCAAATTTTCTCCTCCATTTTTATCTAAGGCGGCATAGAATGAATCAACCATAGCATCGAATAAGCTAGTGTAAGTGTACTGCCCATCGATTACAGGTTTTTGTGCATTGAAAAGAGCATAATCTAATGGTATATCCGTAGGGCTAGATGCGAAGGCAAAATAAGGGTACACATTGATGAAAAGAGGGTTATTAGTACTTTGGAGCCATTTAATTATCGCGATCATAATTTCCTTGGATTGATCGTTGAAGTCCCCTGCAGAGGGCGGGTAAGTAACCCCGAGTACCCTGCCACTAATAGCTGTCGAGACCTGAATGCCAGTAAGTTGCGCCGCGTTAAGGGCATTTAGTATGTTGCCCATGGCTTGGGTGATAAGCGCAGCAGTGGGGTCTTCTGACACCAGCTCGTTGCCTACCGTGACCCATCCAATATTCACATCTTTCGCGAAAGGGACAACTAAGGAGTTCACCCATGCTGCGGCACTATGCACATCCGTAGCAATGCTGGTTACATCTGCATTTTTCACTCCTAAGGAAACTTTTAATCCTGACCCTCTTAGGGCATTTAGCACCTCTGGTTTCGCTTCAAATAATCTTACGAGAGGGATGTTTTCTTGCTTATAGAGGTTCACCACATTGCTTGGTGGTGGAAGATTATCTCCTAACAGTCCATAATTAACTCCTACAGCAGCACCTATTTACAAAAAATCGAAAAAAATCAAGGCTTTGTTTTTTTTCACAGCCTTCAACACGAAAATACTCTAGTAAAGCTTGTAATATTATAGTAAGATAACCAATTCATCATTTTACAACTATAAAACAAGGTCCAATAAAATTCAGACAAAAGGAAATTCAAGTGAAAAAAAATTAGTAACAAATCTCAAGACAAAACCACTAGTTTGAGAAACTTACTTGTGAAATGTGAATGCAGATTGATGATGATTACTAAAATCATACATGTAAAATGAAACGGATTCCTCCAGAAGATTTCCATATCACCTTAAAGAGCTAGATTATATCTTCGTTACACTAAACTCGAAATTTAACTGAGTGTTGATATCGTTTTAACAACTCAATGACATCCATTCATTTAAATATATATTTATACACATCATGCAGCTGGAGTTTGTTACTGAAATAAAAATTATTTGAATACATTGTATTATTTGATTCTGTTGATATATTTCCAAATTATGACATTTAATTCCTTGTAAAAAGATAGAATTTCTATTGCATAAAATAAAGACATATAAATGCCAGAGCAGCCAAGTATTATCTATTTATTTGAAGTAGCACGTCATATAGTTAATACCGCGTGTTAAAAAAACAATTTTTTTCGGAAAAGAATTAGAATGGAAACAATTATTATCAAAATTTATTGGTTTTTTATATCAATAATTATGATAAATGCATTATCCTATATTCCCATAATCACTGGATTATAAAGAGAGTTAAAGAGGAAATACTTGTTGATCAGTCTGATTGACAAGCAATGTAAATCAGGGATATATGGGTAATTTTATTTGTTTAATTAGGGATAATTTTGTAATCCCTTTCTTCCTCCCTTCTCCATGATTCCATTACAGCAACCCACCTTCTTCCTCCATGAAATCTTTATTGCAAACCACCGCCACCGCCACCGCTACCTAAGGTGGTTAATATTGCTTCCGCGAAGAAGATGCTACCCTAAGGGGTTGATATATATGGCCCTAATTTACACCCATTTGCTACTAGGGTGTCTTTTTGTTACCACCGCAAAGCGGCGTTGGAGTGGTTGTTGAGGAAAGAGGAAGAAGGGAAGAAGAAGAGGGACGCGAAGAGGACCTTTCGGAGAGGAACAAGGGGTTGTGATGGTGATGGCGGCTGAGACGAACATGAGAAGATGGAGATGATTGTGGTGGTTCGTGGTTGATCGGCGAGATGATAGGGGGATAATGATGGTAGTGCGGTGGCTTCGTGATGATCGATGACAGGGAGTAGACGGGGATGGTGGTGGTTCATCCTTCGTGAATGGTGATGCTAGATCTAAGTTTTTTTTTACATAATAAAAATGTATTATTGTAGGCGTTGTTTGAAGCGCCTACGTTAAGCATGTTGTGAATATGCTTTGCACTTATAGGAAGTGGGAATTGACATATATACGATTAGGGACAAAGCAAAGTAGGGAGCCGCCAACAGGTTTTTAAGGAACTTGTAAACCGTTCACGGATCATAAAAGGCAACCACAATTAAGGGACAATGAAAGGCAACAACGATTGACCCGTGAAGGTTACACCCCATTCATAATCCATGAGATTACTAACTCCATATGGTTTGGAACCACGAAAGGAGGATCGGGGATGATGGTACAAAGTGAGTCATGGAGTCACATTCGCCCGTGTTGGCCTCTACTCGATTCTTATTGCGAAAAGTATTTCCTGTGATCTCAAAGGCATGCAAACAAAGATCCAATTTGCTCCAAACTAATATTAAGCTAAATTGGTTGAATATTAATGCAACACATAATTCTAAAATATTGTGATCACTTGATTAAACAATAAGATGAAAAAGGAACCTAAACCGGTTGTCCAAAATTATCTTATTAGGCGTTATATTCAATTACATATTCCCTTTAAACATGCAATACGGTGATCAATAAATATGATAGAATCAACATCAACATTTGAAGCAATTTAACCATAATAATATCAAATAATGATAAACCTAATCATGATACTAGCAACAAAAATAATAAAAAGAGTAATTAAGTGAATTAACTACTCACGTTCCGCGTTTCCTTGAATTGCCACATCATGAATAAACTGTTAGTAACTTCAATAAATAATAAATAATAATGGAACTTAAATTAAACTAAACTAGAGTTGATTTGGGGCCAAACCCTCAAATAGTTCTACCTTTCACGCCTTGGTTTAAGTGTAGAACTATGGGTAAAGTACGGATTTCGGGGAGTGCTTAAGGGAAGTATGGTGAGAGAAGAGGGTAGGCTAATGTTTAGGCTAAAGCATAAGAGAGAAAGAGAATGATTTTTGGTGCCCAGAACTGAGGAAATCAGCCTCGTATTTATAAAGGAAATGAGCAGGGTGATGCACGAAACCCTAGAAATGATAAGGCGTCGCGGAAAAACCCTAACTGAACACCGCGTCACGGCATGTGTGCCGTGACACGGTATGCAATACCGTCACGCGGTATGTCTGCCGTGACACGGTGTCCAATTCTGCCCTAAATCTGTCCAGATTCATTTTAACCCTAATTCTTAATCATTAAGTACGTGATTTTTAGGTGCTGTTTCAGAGTTTCAGGCTTATTTAGACTCATTATTTATTAATCGGGCTAAATTAATAAATAACATGAAATGAATTAAAAAGGGTTTGGGTTAAAATATGAATTGGACTATGCTTTGACTAAACATTAGAACTAATCTGTTATAAGCTGTGTTCAATTGAACATGGACTTTAAGCACTCTTGAGATTAAATACTCGACCCGCCCAATAATGGCGGTGAAAAGTTATTCATCATCGGGTTTAGTTTTGGGGAGACATTTTTAGGTGTCTACAATTATATTGCAAAGGTGGCTCACAAAAGTGGTTGATTTACATTATTTTGTCAATCAGCCTGATTAACTGGGGCAACCTCGAGAGTTATAGGAAATGATCCTTGTAATTAAATGACATATCCTAATTAACATATTTGTAATTCTTTTTTTTTTTTTTTTTTTTTTTGAAGGGACATATTTGTAATTCTTAATGTCCTCTATCTTGTAAATACATTAATTTTACTCAATGCACTGTAAATGTCACGACACGACAATTATAGACACACAATTTCCATAAAGTATGAAGAAAAAAAAAATGTTTGATTGACCATTAAGAGTTGTTACTTGTAAGCCCTTATGATTGTATTCAAATTATGGTATAAACGTACTTGATTTTCTATTTAGTACTTCTATTTACATAGTACTTGATACGATTTGATACAAATGCTTTATTCGCGATTTTTAAGTGGAATGATAAAAGTAGAGGGAAAATTTTATTCGCGATTTGATACACTTCTCGTTTTTTCAATTCAATACAAGAGCACATGTAATCTACTCTCATGCTTTTCGATACTTCAAATCTGTAGCAAAAATTTTGCCTAGCCAAGCAAATGAATTACTTATAAAAGATATTGAACCTAAAGAACCATGGAGTATCCAAATACAAATAACTTTGGATTAATAGCTGTTCACAATGAAAGGGATAAAGAAGTAAAGAACAATCCTTAATACTGTTAATGACAATATCGTAAGATCATCTTACAATTCCACATTTAATTTATGACACGACATTAATTGAATAGAGGCAGTACACAAGCAAGCATGTTTGTTAGCAACTTACATACTAAATTAAAGTTTAAAGATTATACGTCGAGGCTCAGAAACACATAACAATTATCTCAACCACCTACTTGATGAGACAGCTTCAGAGCATAAGAATGAGGAAATTTTCAGAAATCAATGCTAACAGAGTTGCACTCAATTCTGTGAGGCTCATCTTTGTTGCTCACGACCAGTAGCGTATTACAGACATTTACACAAGGTGAACTACTTTACTGCACATTCAAGTAAAAGTAAATTATACAAAAGTCTTAAAGCACCTTCAATGTGTAGCAAGCTACTCGGAATGAGAAGTCCAATAGATCAGCCCACTGTCAAAAAAAGAGTATAAATTTGTGAGCAAATTAAAAACTTAATAGGTTGAATGTACCCAACCATTAATGGCAGATATCTAAAGTGCATACAAACCCTGCTAGGTGCAAGAGCAAGCATGGCAAAAGTAAATATTGGAGTGTTGATCCTCCAAAGCTTTATCTCAGGTGTACTTACAAAAGTCTAAAATCAGAGCCTCAGGAGAGTTGTAGATTCATAGCAATGGGAATGTGAACATTGATAGGGCAGACACGCATGCAGTTACTAGAGCATACTCAAGCAGGCAGTATAGTAGCCAGAACACACAGGCACATATACCCAAAAGTCAAATGGACTTACTAGAGCAATTAAATTGGAGCATGCAAATTGAATAAGACCTTGTTTGTTTTCTTATATTTCTACTTCTTGAAACCACCTTCAGAAATTACAGGGTTTCCCCAATTATAAAATTACTCAGTGTTCATTTATAAATATACATAAGAGGCATAAATCCATACAATAACAACAACAACAACAAAGCGTTAGTCCCAAAATGATTTGGGGTCAGCTAACATGAATTGTCATAAGGAACCGTATGAAATAGAGGCATAAAGCCATATGACAAGAATATCATGTTTCTCCTAGGAGCAACGTTGCACATTCCAAATTTCCAACTTCCCTTTTCTAACACAAAATTTATTGACCTAAAGGAAAAATAAAAAGGAAAGCACTGCAAAGTTCCAAATTAATCACCAGCTTGAGAGAAGGGAAGCAAGTCCCAATAGCCTATAGGCCGTATAGGGCAAGATGATTTTTTATAAAGCCACGAACCAACCCTAGGCACAAAGAGTTTCCCATGCCAAGGTGTGAGCCAAAGGCACACAGACATCAAACACACAAGGTACTAGATGCTTGGGGTAATTATAGATTATTTTTCATATGAATATTTAGTACTCTCCTTCTCATGGTATTCTATAAAGAAAGATGATTATTTAGAAGTTTGTGCAAAAACGATGAAAGGGAGTAAAATATAAAAATTAAATGAGGGGTGCGCCTCAAACAGCCTCAATGTCCTCAATGTTCCTAGGATAGCTTGAGGTGATGAGGCTAGTACGTATTGCCTCCTAGCACCTAGCATCTGGTGCATTTTTAGAAACTAAGGCGGCAAAATTATTATTGCACTTACACATGCAAAGAGCATCGTAATTATGTAAAATGGCAGGAAACATATGAAAGTAAGCATAAAAAAATAACAATAAATCATAAATTAACAATTTCCCTAATCTTTCGATAAATATAATAAATAACTGAAGGTTACGTTCACCAATCTCACATCAGTAATTTGTTGATTTAAGAATGATTTCCTCTCAATGGTCCCATAGCTGAAAACAATGAATATTATAATTATAAACCCCTAAGAAAACATAAAGGTTATAATGGAAAGAACAAGAGAGTTTCCCATAATATTTTATGGAAGATTCTGTGCATAGAAAAGGTCTGCTACAATGAATTATAGCTTCTTTGAAGAGTAATCAATCTTGGGTTTTGTTGGTCTATGGAGGAGCTTTATTGAAGACAATTGATTAGAATTTACTAGTCTCTCGAGATGAATCTACAGTAATTAGTGCTATCCTTCAAAACAGAATTTACTTACGCAATTTTATGATAAGCATCAGCTTACAATCTACCAATATGAAATGAGCCTTATCCTAGGATGTTAAAAGCTGGCACAATTGATTAACAAAATAGAAGATGCAAAGTCTACTCTATTTTTATAAAAACAGATTAAGAAAATGGTCCTATTTATGATAGTGCCTTTGTAAGAGGATATCAACTTGAGTATTGAGTCTAGCAAGTCATGTTGAGCTGCCAAATCATTTTGGGATTAAGGATTAGTTGTAGTTGTTGCTTATCCTCCAGGCTTTCGCAGACTACTCATGGAGAGAAATTTCACTCAAGCAATCTTGCATATACTACCTCCGTTTCACATTACTCGCAACAAAGAGGCTATGTACAGATTCCTAGGCAAAACATCTTAAGCATACTTATTGAAAAATAAGGGCATATACTTAAGTATTAATCCAACCCAAAGAAAAAAAATGAAACCAAAATTAAACTTAACCACACAGTACCACGAAACCACGAACCAGCAGCACCACCACCACTGGCACCACCTAGCACCACCCAGAACCGTACCACCACCCAGTAGCACCCACCACCCAGCACCGTACCACAACCCAATAATCGAACCACCCACAATCGAACCACACTCGAGTCGTACCACCCAGCATCTTACCACCACCCACAACCGTACCACAAACGAACCAACAATCGAACCAAGAACCCCAATCAAACCCACATACAATCGAAACCAAAACCAAACCCACAATCGATGTAATAGACTGATAATCCTCATGCTAAGAATAGTAAAGTAAAGGAGAAAGCTTGGAAATTTGATTAAAGATTAATGGTTTCTTACAAATGGTAGTAGCAGGTTTAGCCTACAAAGCTCATATTAGTGACTTGAGGTCACAACTCCCCACAAGTTTCAATCCAGTTTCTGCCTACCTTTTTCTCTTCCCCCTTCTCTCTATTTATACTAAAGCTTAAGACTACTAACCTAATAGTACTAGACTAGACTACCAAAATACTAAGCTACCTATAATACCCCTCAACTAAGTCGGTTCGTTACAATCGAAACCAAAACCAAACCTACAATCAAACCCATAAACCCCAAAACCAAACCCATAAACTTGAAAGAACCACGAAAATCATCACATCTGGAATTTGGAAAACCCACAACTAAAGGGTGGTCTTCAACAATTTATGACAATGGGGTTGGAGGAGGAGAGAGAAAAATCATAGGAATGAGGAAGAAGATGAAGAAATTTGATGATGAAGGAAGAGAGAGAAAGATTATGGAGAAGATGATGGAATGAATGTGGATTAATTTGATGATTTTAGAAAGATAAGATGAGTTTAGTTAGATTAGATTAGCTTTAATTAATTATGTTTAAAGTATGTAATTGAGGTTATAAAGTTTTATGTAAGGGTGTTTTTGTAATTTCATTTAAAAAAATTTACTAAAAATGGAAAAATTTGAATATGTTGCGAGTAATATGAAACGGAGGTAGTATATATATATATATATATATATATATAGGTTCATGTGAGAAGCTCCCTTAAGGTGAGAAGGGTGAGAAATAAGCTCAACCATTGGATCAAGGTATGGACGGTGGAGATTAGGGGAAAAAAACGCGCGATCTTCGCTCTTTTTATTGACTTTATACGTAACTTTCTCTATCTACTTCATTCCTTTCTCTCTCTTGCTCAAAGCTCCTTCACTGTAATGGTACTTCAAATTTCTCTCAAATATTCAATCAAATTACATTAGCTTAAAAATCTGCATGCAAGATTCTGCAGATTTCGTTGATTGTGAATTACACACACTACATTAAAGGTAAAAGTTTTGAAATCATAATTTTAATTTTTTTTTTTATTAATTTCATAATTATGATAAATTGATAGAGTAGTAATATTTTGAGATTGTTAAATGCATTATGAACTTAGTTTGATTGCTGAATTTTGATATAGATGATCGATTGTCATAAATCGCTGTAGTCAATCTAGGTTTTGATTTTCCCTCTTTTTGCTTAATTATGATTTTTGATGTCTCCGAATCAATGCTGTTTATTTATATCGTATCTAATATTGTTTTCTAAGACTAACTCACCAAATTATTTCATATACAATCTAATTATGATATAGGTTGTATAATTATTTGATTTGATTTAATTAGTCACACTTATAATAATCATTTTTCTAATGTATATGCTATTGTTTCTAATGTATGTGATATTGGTTACTAATGTAACTGTAGAAACTAATTAATGTACCTATTGTTTTGATTTTGTATATAATATTTGGTTTATTCATTAGAAGTTTGTATTGAGGTGGAGATTATTGATGAAGTGGATAGTGGAGAGTAGATGAGCATGTTGATTGGAGCAAAAGACTCCTACTAATGATGTTGTAATTCCGTATGACAATTTATCACAGCCAACAGATGATAAATACAAATTGATTTTTAACTTCCTTTGATTTATTCAATGTATCTATAATGAACTTGGAATGTATCTATAATATAATTTCAATGTATCTTTAAATTATTTTTTATGTACCTATAATGTATCTTCAAAGTATCTATAATATATCTATAGTGTATTTTTGATGTATCTATATTCTACATTTAATATATTTGTAATACACTTTTGATGTATCTCTACTTCTCACCTTCTCACAATAAGTATGTTTCTCACCGGATCCCAATCCTATATATACATTACAACATATGATATTTGCTCTCATGTCATTTAACACAACACCCCCCACCCTTTACAAACACATGCACAGAGAGACACACACACTACATGAATTGAGGGCAAATACTTTTGTCAGCCATTCAATGAACTAATATACTTTCCTCCACATCACATTGAGATTTTCTCTAACTCGAGAACTTTAAAAAAAAAATGTCTCATGCACATATTGAAGCATGTCTATCAGGGTAATGCTCACCAAGTGTGACCATCTGAAAAATCTCGAGTATTAAGGAGACTTATATGCAATTTTGTTGGGAATCACCACGGTCTCCTAAATGAGGTTACTAGGTGGGCTTGAAAACAATTAGAGTACTAGACATATGTCAAACAATGATCACATTATAAGCACACATTCTCCCTTCAACCCCCTCCCACCTCCAATGGAATAATTTTTATATTGAAAATTACATTAGTATATCACACTATAAGCACACGCTCTCCCTTCAACCCCCTCCCACCTCCAATGAAATAATTTTTCTATTGAAAATTCCATTAGTACATCACATTATAAGCACACGCTCTCCCTTCAACCCCCTCCCACCTCAAATGGTTTTATTTTTCTCTATTGAAAATTCCATTAGTATCTAATGCACGACTGACTATACCTAAGGCAATCAGTTTCATAGTCAATGGGTCTTCAGAGCATGCTTTCTTCTGATTTCAATTGAGGTTACTCCCAATTGAAAAGATCACATGAGAGAAATAATTCTTTTAACATGACCTTCAAACAAGTGATATGACTCATATGACAAAACAATGTTTGCTAAGAATTTGAGAACCTTTCATACAACATTAACTGAGATATCCAACTGGTGCTCACAGAGGGTTCTTGGACATGAAAGGTATTGACAAGAGTTATAAATCTTGATTTTCAAATAATCTATGACCTTATGCAACTATCTAATGCTATGATGCTCATACCCAGATAGGGGTACTGGTATCAGGTAAAACCAAGGGTCCGTACTCTATTAAATGAAGTTGTAAGGCCCCCTCTTAAAAATTAAATAAAATAAAAAGGTCTCTCAGGGCGACAGGGCGTCCATTATAAGTATCTAAACTTTATGGATCTTAAACAGTACCTCACAAAACTAAACTTCTAAAGCTCAAAACATTTCATTATTCCCATGACAAGGTACCACATTCTTGACTCAACTCAAGTCACTCAGCTCTTATCTTGTTAATACACTTGGCTAGAATGATCAATTCCTCCATACCAATTATCCATATTCCATAACCTAATAGCTGTTATAAGGTCTTGATAAAACAAAGAAAGCAACTAAGTTCCACATGATGTATTTGGTTTGCAAGGAAGAGTGTACAACAATATGAAAAAGGTTATAATCACTTTAAATAATGGGACATCCATATTGTGTAAAATGCACTTTATTGACCCACACACAAAAAATGACAGAAAAGAAAATTAAAATGAACATCACAAAAATAATACTGACCTGATTAGCACAAATACACACTGCAGGACACCAGCAACCCCTGTCCATGTTGATGGTCCGGAAGGCATCAAGGCATCTTGTATAAGTAACCCAACTGATGCCGCAAGGGATACAAAAGATACGACATAAGCTAGGAAAAGCCAAAGCTTCAATCTGCAATAGCATTCAGTAGAAGATATCAGCATATTAAAATCATTGTTGGTTAGCAGCAAAGTTAATATCCAATTTCACATGCAAGCAGTAGTTCTACAGTATTCTGTCAAACAATAGCTGACCAGAAAACTTATCATAAGCAAACTAGAGAGTGGTTATAAGAGTTCAACCAGATGGAAGGAAAGGCTCTCAAACAGTGTGTTTGGACAAAGAAAGGGAAGGAAAAGAAGGAGAGGGAGGGGAAGAGGGGGGGAGGGAAGATAGAGGAGTTTTCCTTCCAAATTTCTCCATTGTTGGAGGGATCAATTTCTTTCAATTTAATCCCTCCATTTCTCTCCCCTCCAATTCCCTTCCTTCCTTATTTGTTATCCAAATGAAAGATACCCCATCCCCCTATTTCCCTTCCCTTCCTTTCCCTCCATTTCCTTCTATCCAAACACACCATAAAAGAGTGTACTGAACTCCTTAATTCATTTCTCTTCTATAACTCATATTTCCCACTTCGTATTTCCTTTTTATTACGACCCCTATTAAACGTGTTACTTTATACAAGACTACTCATAGAACTCTCCTAGTTCACTGCAAGATTGCATGCTACCTTCTCAGTATCTATATCCACATCTCTACCATCATACAAAGTATTCATTTGCAAGCAAAGTAAACTTAACCAAACCTCCCTGATCACTATCAAATGGGACATCACCACAATCACTGTCCACACAATGACGTATTCATGATCAAACCAGGAGAGTTTCCAGAATGATGATAAGATAAAGCAGTAACACTGAAACCAATAAAAGATGTCACCTTTCCAAGCACAGCTAATAGCTTAATATGCAGATAACATCATATGATCACAATGAGGCATTTTGATGTACGATCACATTACAAAGCAGGATCCAAGCAAATATGGTGAGAATGAACATAAAAGCAAATAATATACTCAAAGGAACAATTAAATCATCAAATCAAAAACTTTAGCTTAAAATTTTTACTGCATTACAGAAAGAAAAACAATCAATGAAGAAACAATTAAATCATCAATTAAAAAACTTTAGCTTAAAATTTTACTGCATTACAATAATCAAAACAATCCATCAATCAATCAAAACCCTATGAGTAATCAAATTGCAAAACAAAAATAAAAAGTCAGAAGCAGTAATTCAAAAAAGCAGACCTCCACTCGCCTTCATCGTAAGGAGAGTAATCAATATCCTCTTTCCTGACACAATTGAACATCAAAGCAGCCAAAGATGCAAAAATCCCTAATAATTAAGAAAAAGCAGAAACCCTAAAATCAGTGATTGTTGAAAGAGAGAGAAAAAAGCGAGGAGAGAGAAAATGAAGAAAGAGAGTGGATGGAAAACCAGGAAGATAGTGGACGAAAGAGACGGCGATGGAACTGCAAACCACGGCGTCAACCCAGAACCACCAACCCGCCCCGAATACGGCGCCGGCGATACCCGGCCCGAATATCGCCAGTAGCTCCGGTACATCCATTTTTTTTCTTTCCTTTTTTTTTTCCCCTAGTGATTGGTGTTTTTGTTTTTGTTGCACTGGAAGAGTGTGGAAGGTGAGAATGATAATAATTCTAGCTCGCCCCAGATACAATGTCAACTTTTTCTTTTTTTTTTTTTGTGGGGGAGGGGGGGGGGGGGGGGTGTTATAGAAATACAATGTCAAGGGTTATGCCATGGGTTATTGTTAATTCCAAGTTTTATAGTTTTTGGAAAAAGAATTACGGAACAATTACTTTTTCGTCTAGAGAGCGTGTATATTAATAATTAAGGGATAAAGTGGATATAAGTAAGGTGTTAAGAGATTTCGCGAGATAGAATTCTTCGTAAAAGTGATTATTCCAAACTTAATTACACAAAATGACACTAGCTTAGGACAATGAAGTAACAAAGGAAAAAAAAAATAAAAAATAGTGGTCATTTGGTTCATATAGAATAGAAATTAGGAATTAGAAGTTCTCACAATCAAATTGCATCCCACAAAAATGTCTACTTACCTAAGGGGGGATTTGCACCTAATTCCTATATTTTGTTGAGGGTTTACAATTCTCAAGAAATTCCACTTCCCCCCATTTCATTAAACCTTTGTTAACCAAATAACACACCTAACTAGTATGACTGTATGAGTAATTCCTAACAAGTCTCACTTCCTTTATTTTTTTATGTCAATCAAACAAAGCCCCTAAAGTGAATGCTCAAAGGCATTTAGACATAATATTCTCTAACACATAAATTTATTTTTATTTATTTATTTATTTTATTTTTTTACAAACATAAGTATGGTTTTTATTTGTTACTTTTTATTTTTTTTATTTATCAACACTTGACATTTTGATTATAAAATGTTCAACAAAACGATACTAAAGCCCAAACTCGATAATCATATAACACGGGTTTTATCTTTGGCTAAGTCATTGAAATTTTATAGAAAAATTATGTTTTTAGGTGATACTGGAATGTTGTAGGATAATCACCTTGCAATATCACAATTAACGTTTATATACTTATTATATTACTATGAGTTATATTACTTTCATATGTTGTAAGATTATTTATATGGCCAATTGTTTTCAATATATGTATTATTACGTAAAAGTAACAAATAATTCAGGTATTACTTATATTAACTTTACCTTCGTAATGTATAAATCATATTACACAGGTACAACTTTTTAGAATAAAATAAATAAATAAAATATCGAACCTTAAGCCCATTTTCCCATTCAAATCCAACCTTTAATACCTATCATCATTCAAATCCACCGTAAAGACATTATTCGAATAGAAATACAAGAATAAAAGAGCATACTCCGTAATAAGCTTCCTAAGTATCTTATACTTCGTACTTCCATAGGATCTCTACCAACAATAAAAGAAGGCCCTTTCATAGAATCTACAGCAAAATATAGAAGTAATAACAGTAGCTGAAAAACACGCAACCAAACGAACGCAAAATTCCATAGGAATATGAGAGCACCTTGATCTTACAGAGTACTCCGTATTACCCAGAAAGCCAAAGCAAAGTAATGCTCACACAAGTGAACTCAGGATTAAGCAATGAGAGAATTTAATAAGCGAATTCTTGAGATAGTCGCCACTTAATATCTTCCTGGTATTTCCTAAACAGCTAAACCAGAGTCGCACCAATTTTCTACTTAGAAAGATTCAAAGTTAAAACATCTCTTACCAGAAGCTAACCCCTGCTACTCAGAGAACTGTAATGATCCAACCAGTTTCTGTGCAAGTACTTCGAAATGATAGTAACATATATCTCATTCAAAACCGTCAAAATCACACCACCATGGGCACCACTCTTCCAAAAAAAACGAAAGGTAAAATACGTGAAGCAACTGAGCATCTCCTCCTTTTCCAAGTCCGCGCCATTCAACTTTAACAGGGGCCTTCAGATCACAAGTAGAAGACAACCAGCAAAGAAAATTCACAAATTAGCTAGAATGCCAAGATTGAACTTACCTTGCTGATTTTATCAAGATTAAGGCACCACAAAGATAAAACTGACACACATAGACTATAGAAAGAGTGCATCTAAATAAAAAATAAATAAATAAAAAAAAACCTATACAGGTGCAAAGAAATACACGAATGTACTCAGATCTCGATCAACAGTGGTCAGAAAAATAATTTAATTTTTGTATTGATCTGATGTCCGAGCGATTACTTCGGAACACTATAAGGATATATACACTAACTTTACAAAACATTAGCAGCAGGTGTATCCTTCTAGCTTGCTTACAGTTACAACGGCAAAGGAAAAGAAGCATCTTGCTATCAGGAAATATAGGAAGCACTTGCGGCCCCATAAAACAAATCAAAGATCAAACCCTCACCCACTGTACAATTGCTCTGAGAACGAATATACAACAAATGATGCCAAAATTTCTCTAAACAAACGAGAACTTCATGTCACGAAATGAGCCCAAACCTTCATCCAGGCATCAATTTGAGGCTCATGCTAGGACAAATGCAACCACATGAGCATCAATAACAGTGTAAACCATGATATTTCACCCAGAAGCACAAGCCATGGAGTAAAAACCTTGCCAATCTAATCATCTACTTCTTCTCTTTCAACAGAATTGTGCCTGACCGGCTTCCCATTGGAGAGATAATCAATAGGAACATAGATATATCCCTTTGGTAACCGCCTATTTTTCAAAGATGCTTGGTCAGAAGTCATTACCAGCTCCTTCTCAAATGTTTCAAGGTGCTGCATACAGGCATCAAATAGATACATAAAACATTAAACATAACGGCAAATTCCTCGAAAAAGTACCACCTAGGCTCCAAGTCTTCCAATAAAAAAAATAATCTAGTCAAAAACAAAATTAACTAGGCAAAAGAAATAGCTTTTGAGTTTTGAGGAGGATTACGACACTAAAGATTATTATGCAGCTTTAACATAAAAGAGGAGATTTCATAATTCAGAATATCCACAGATAGATATTAAAAGCATTAACCATATTCTTATTAAAGTAGTTGTAAGCCAACTGACAGAACTCTCCTACAGTGAGAAAAAACAGTTGGTAGAAGAATAAACAATAAAAATAAAAAAAATGTTAAATACCTTTCTGGAATTTAATGAATTATCCATGCTTTGTGAGAAATCACGACTTGCCAAGGCAGCTCTAACAGGAATTTGCTTCCCAGCAAACGAACCCCTGTCCGGCGGCTTTGGTACATGATGACGTGATGTTGAACTAACTTCAGTTTTTTTATCATTATCTATAGACAGCGGAAGCCTGATACGCCGTTTTGTTGATAATGCACTATCAACAGTGATGTCATCAGATCTTTGCATTGCATCGCTGCATGACCTAGAACCATCCACATGCCCCTTAAGGGATGTGGTAGCCGAGTCGGAACTTTCATGAGATGAGAAGGGACGGTGTACAAGCATGGAGAAAACCAAAGAATCTCGTTTTGAAGCAAAAACGTCATGGTTGCAAATAACCAATTCTCGCTGCAATCCATACAACTGGTCAGGAACTCAAAATAAAACAGTCCTGGATTACCTCTTACAAAAAAAAAAATCAAACTAATAATTGATATCTCAAAGAGCTCACACAAAATAAACAAGATTCACATGCAAAACTACTAGTAACAGAGAAAGCAAATGCCAAATTCCAATTACTTGCATGAAATGGCTGGTATTAAACAAGTAACACCCCACTATCCAATGAGAATTCACTTAGTTTGAAAAACTGGACCTACGATCACCATTCATTTAAAAACCATACAACTGCTATCCAAGTTACTAAAATAATCTCAGGCAAAAACAACAAAAAAAAATGCAAAGCAACATAAAGGCCCTCCATACTAAATAAAAAGAAAGGTGCGTTCCTCAATTACCTTCAACTTTTCCCGTTTGACGATCCTCTCACAAAGGAGACGTAACTTTTCCAGCTCAACCTGACCAAAACAAACATAATAGTTTCGTTTAGAAATTTACTTTGATTATAAAATAAAATGATCTAGTACACATGCATTGAGGCAACATTTTTCAATCGAGATAAGTACAAAAACACAGATGTGCATGAAAAAATAAACAATCATTGTTCCATGCCCACAACGAGAAAATAAAGGAACCAGATATTCTAACTGAGAAAATAAAACACATCAAAAGTTTATAGAAGTTATCAGATGCACATATTTACAATCGCAATACCAAATATTAAGTGTTCCGAGATTGTGGAAGGAGTGCCGCATTGTATAAAATTGAATCTGCAAGGTCCTTTACAAACTCAATCGTCAAGTGATTCTAAACTGTTGAGACTAAATCATTGACCTATGACAACGACATCATGCAACAATAACCACCATCATAGGGGGAAAAAATCATGTCACAAACCACTTAACAAATTGCAAGGAAAGACCTAAGAGCTAAGGGAACAAAAGACAAGGCCCACCCACACAGGAGAGAGAAACTGCAATCTGGTAAATCTAACAGGTCCAACAGATAGTGTATAAGAGCAGGTTTACCAAAAAAAAATTAAACTACTAAAATTGCAAAATCTCCAGGAACCAATCAGTTGAGAATAGACAATATCATAACAAGCAACAAGAGCTTATGCGATAAACAATGCAAAAAATTTCCCCCACTCACCCGATGTTGCTTAACAATTTTTAGGTCTTCAACACCATGCTTCTGCGTTTCAGCCTGATAACCAAATAATGAGGAACTAGTCACGACAGCATTAAAGAGCAAAACAAGTATGGAAAAGTCTGAGAAATAAAGGTTAGACTTTACTTTTGTTCTTTGCTCCAAACTATGCTTACTGCAATAAGCTTTATGCTGCATCTTGCCTCCACCAATGTATTTGGTATACATATAGTAGTCAGCAGACCTGGCACATGATGGGTGGAATGTAGACTGACAATTGCCATAATTGCACTACACAGCAAGTGTGAAAGGAAAGTCAGCTTTTAACAGCCTCCGCAAAGGTCAAAGCACATTTTTCTACTTAGAGCATGTTTGGATTGAAAATAATGTATCAAGGGGATAATGAAAGACAAAAATAAAGAAAGGGGTGGAAGAAGATGGTTCTAGAAGGAATGAGGTCGTAATTGTATAAGAAGGGAGGTATAAGGGAATTATTTCCC